TGGGTTGGTAAAAAGAGCAGTCCAGTCTTCCAAAAGACTAGGGAGATGCTAGGGGTACTTGTCTGAGGATAAGGTGGTAGGAAATGAAATTGTGCCATCTACTTTGATTTTGCAGTGCTTCAGATTGCAGTGAAGTATAAAGCCATACAATGCAGAGAAAATCATTACTTGCCATGTGACAATCTTCACTTATAACTTTAGTGTCTGTAAGACAAGTTTGTTCCATACCATTTTAGGGGCAGATGTTACTATTCTAGAGAGATGCACAAGTTATCTAGTTAAGTAGATTAGCATGAAGAAAGTAGAACTTTATTAATCGGTGCAATGGTGTGGGTGTATGTTTTTTTAACTTTTTTGCAGTAATTTTTTTCTATGCAATAAAAATGCATTTGTGCTAGAAGTATTCCTTCCTTTGCCAAAGATGATTGTCAAGTTGATTTACTGAATGAGAGTTTGCACGGTTTTGCAGCAGCAGCAGAGGATGATTTTAACAATGGTGACTTTGTATAGCAAAAGTAGCCTTAAGGGGATGCTTCGCAGTATAGCTTACAGCTCAGCTATCCCCTCTCACAATAACAGTGGTAGACATGTGCAGTGATATATATGTAGCCACTGGTGTTATTGTGAGTTAGTCTCTACCATACTCCTTTAGTTGCTGGAAAGATACCCGGGGGTAGTAGAAATTGGCCAGAGAAGCCAGTCATTGACAACTGTACTCCAATGATTAGTAAAGCCCTCTGAGAAAATACTCCCCTTATTTGGGCCCATTCTACAATTTTTACAAGAGGACCTGTAGAGACTGATAGTGAGCTGTAGCCTACATGAGTACCATCCTTGTGAATAGAGAGTAAGCATTGGAGCAACCATCAATTCACCAGAGTGCAAATTATCATCTTAAAATTTTCTCATAATTTTCCATTCTGTAACAAGCTGTATCTTTTCTTGACTGTTGTTATTTGTGGAAGAGACCAGAAACAGAGCTGCCAGACAAGATTAAGTTGCACATTTTACTGCTCAGTAGTTTATGTTGTACATAGATGGTCAAATGTAATATATTTCTGTTGGAGGCTAGAGCAGATATTTCGATTATTGATTCAGTTCAGAGAGGTTGAAGATTACATTAGTGTACTGATGTATAAATTTTGTTGGTGGATGTAAAGAGTTGAACTGGATAAAGTATATTTTCATGTTTGCAGAGGATTGTTCTATCTACTTATCAATACAATGTAGTGATAGATGTTTTAATTTTTTCCTGGGATACTGAGTTGTACCAGTAGTATTGCATCTGTCCAGTGTAAATCTATACTAGGGATTTAGTGACAGAAAATTTAAGAAAGGCACTCTTAGACAGCAACAAATTTATTCAGATTCTTCTGCAGAGTTGTTGTTATGTACTCAAGATAGGATTGTCTGAGATAAACCTAGACAATACCAATACCATATGTCTAATGTGGAACACACAAAAAATCTTGTAGTTTAAATACAGCAATACACAATCTTTTTCAAAATCTGTGTCTGCTTTTCATCTTTATTGGTATGGCAATGGGTCATTCCACATTACAATTTGTTGACATCATCTACATGATTCTTCCCCTCCATAAATATAGACATGCTTCTTGAGGCTTGGTCCCGACTCCAGAGGCATGGTCATTATCCACAGGGCTACATAGGCTACTACCTGTAACTATATACAGGCTCTTTTCTTCTTGGAAGACAGGAAACATCTTAAATAGTAGCTTAAATATCAAGTCCCTTGATGCCTCCCAACTGAACAGTCACCCAGTCAACAGTTCCTGAGAGTTTGTGAAGTTCATGTCCAGTCATATGTGGTATTGTACCACTAGAATGGCATCTCCTTCCCCTCCCAGGTGAAGAATTTGCCTGTGTGCTGCATGGTCAGTCCATTCACAATGTCCATCAGGTACTGCACTGACCGCTCTGTGGAGAACAGCTTGTCACCCGGTACATTTCTGTAATGCACAGGCACACAAACAGAAATAGGTGATGAAATTATTCAAGCACCATATATGTATGTGTATCTACATACACAATTTTTTACAGTAATTACACACACATGCACACAAAAACACATATTTCTGCACCTTAATTAGTGTTTGCTACTATATTAACTCAATAGTGCAGTCTATTAAAGAAAAACTGTTTCTGTGGATTTAACCAAGGAGGGTATTTATAACCTGCACATCCTGCCCCATCCACAGAAACAAGGACCGAGGTTATCATTTATAACCTCCTTGATTTAACTGGTAACTCATGCAACTACATGTGCATGCCGTTTACTTACTTGTGGTATGGCCTGGAGAGGTCTGTGTCCACTGTACCAGGGTGCAGGCTGACACAGATCACCTTGTTCCTGCCACGGCCGAGCTCAATGCTGAGATTCTTAGTAGCCATGTTCAGTGCACACTTGGACATACGGTAGGAGTACCAACCACCAAGGCCTGAGTTTGTGAGAGTTTTTGCAATAAGAAGGTGCACATTACTATTTTGAAATTCAAAAGTAACTCACAGACAATTCAAATACTACTTGACAAAATGCTGGACGAGATTACTTCCGGATGTTTTGAGTGACAGCCATCACTCTTCTTCAGCATCACCAGAATGAACTGGCAGAACCAGTCAACATTTATGAAAAGATACTGGAAAAACCAGTTGAACAAGACAAAATCACTGACTCATAAGTGTCACTGATATGTAAATCAAGTTGAAGTTTCTATACTAGTAAGACCATGCCACAGGATTAGGAACTGCTGCTGTCCCTTGGGTGGTGGTAGGGAGGGAGATCCATCCTACAGAGAGAAAGTCTCACCATTGTCTGTTGTGGAGCCAACCTTGGCTGATATGTTGGCCATCACTGCAGTATGCGTCTGCTTGTTCGATGCATGTTGGCCAAATGCTCCTGTTCCCTTCTGCAAAAGTGGTGAGAAGTACTTGGCTACCAGCAATGGTCCTATAGCATTGGTGCTAAAGGTTGTTAACAGACCCTGCAAGGGAAAAATAAGAATTACTAGTATGCATCAATAAACAAAGAAACATCAGCACTTGGGACGTGTGGCAGAAATATTCAGCCATTTTTCATCCAGTAGCCAGAGCGCTGTAGGTTTTTTTATTATAGGTGATGAATCTTCCAAGCTCAAGAAATAAGTTGACTTTGGGTACACAAAAGCAAAGGGAAAAGTAGGAAATGTCTGTTTTCCAGGGTTCCACTGTAAAGTCGTTGAGATGGGCCACCTGGCTAAATGACACAAAAATAAATCAACAAATATTTTACATATAAAATTTATAAACACCTGAGAAGAGACGTCCCGGAGGCTGGTTTCCCCCCTGCCACTGGGATGGAGGATGCCGGCACAGTTGATCAGCAGGTCTAGTCCTCCTCCATGCTGCTGCTGCACCTGATTGGCTGCCTGCTGGATGGAGCCCTCATCAGTGACATCAAGAGGCAGGATGTGCAGGTTGCTTGGAAACTCTGCCTGATGGGCATGTATTGTGTAGTAAGTTTGTGTTAGTTTTATCTTCGAAATGATGATGATGACGTATTGAAGTGTGCACACAAGATATTATCATTTAGTAGTCTGCACGGGAGGCTATTATTTTGCTGCAGTACTACAGAAAGCTGCTATGAGGCCCATCAAAATCACTACTTCTATTAAAGTTCTAGCCAGGAACAATAAATTTAATATTTTGGTCTAGCATAACAGACCCTTATATGCAAGGACAACAACAATCATCTCAGTCTTTGTAAAAGTCCTTGGTCTGGTAGACATGGTAGATTTAAACATTACAAACTCGCCTGCAGTGCCTGTAGTCTGTGGCGCCGCCTGGATTTCTACATGTTGCAATGACAGTGCTGCTGGGAGCTCCTCTCAGGAGGTATCTGCAAAACTGTAGTCCGATTCCTCTACTCGCTCCTTGCACTAGACAGGCAGACATTTTTAATATCTACTATACAGGCACGTTGTGTAACGAGAAAACACCCAAAGGCATTGTGAAACATTTGTGATGGATCAGCTGATGTTGTACTAGATGATGATGTAATGAGATTTTGCGACAAATACACGATTTGCGATAGCCGATTTCATGCGAAATACGCATGTCCGAAGAATGACCAATCAGCTCTGCTGTAAGAAAAACAGTCCGACAACTCTGGCCAATCAAATTTCTTCTTGCAATTTGAAAGCAAAGGCCGCCATATTTGAAGTTTTACCTTTTAGGTTTGTTTGGTCATTTTCAGTTTAATTTTAACACGTTTTCTTTCTAAATAGTAGAGAATTTGTAACATTCAAACCCACAGAAGGTTGTTGATACTGACCTCTAAAAGCTGTGGGTCCCGAGACGGAGAGTCTCCGACCAGAGAAAAGGTAAGCGAATCCAAATTTGACTTATTAATCAGGCTTTTGCGCGTGGCGACTCTTGCAGGGCGCCTTTTGCTGGTAGTCTTATAAATTATATACATGTAACGTTAATAGTAGTTGAGTAACCCTTCCTGGGTCGCCCGGCTAGTTTCAGGCGTATGTTTCGGTCCTCTTATATAACATGTTGTGCAGTAAATTTGTCGCGTAATTATAATAATTTGTTGTCCTCCTTAGCTTTAATAGTCTCGTAGCTCAGAGTGTCAGCCGTATACCCGTAGGGGCAGTCTGACAGTCCAGGTTGAATATGAACTTGCCCACTGCTAGCCGTGGTGACTAAGGAAGCCAGTATAAACAGCATAACAGGCTTCCCTAGTCGCTATGGCTAGGTCACTGAACACACATTTATTTTAAGTTATAACTCACTTAGTATGAATTATTCAATTTAATACGTCATAACTAACGTTACGGCCACCAGCTCCAGTTTTCTTATAAATATACATACAATTTACAAGCGCCAAAATGTACGCGTATAACTAAAACTTGTAAAAGGTCCTGCTTGAGCTTCATCACAACTGATTTGACAGTCACACTTTACACTGTAAAATTATCATCACTTTTGCCACAGGGATAACCTCATATCATACTGTTAATGTCATACATTTTCCTGTAGATTGAAAACACAAAAATGTACTAGTATACATGTTTAGCAGAAAGTGTCAAGGTACTATCATACTGCATATATTACAGCTTGTGACTCAAGTTGTGAGCATTACACATGATCATAATATGTAGATGAAGTACGGTACTACATGTACTAGTTACCTTCTGACTTGGCTCTGACTCTGAAAAGCATACTGATCCCACATGATTTACCTGCCTCTTACAGTCAGGATGGGGAAACCATCATGGCTCAACAACGTCACTAGCAGTACCATCAAAAAAGCACGTGTCTACACAACCAAGAAGAACCGGAAAAAGGTCGAGTACAACACACGTGTGGTGGACAACACTTGGGAACAGGTGTGCAAGTTTAACCTGGGGGACATCTCCCCCTTCAGTCTGGACAGTCCAGAGTCAGTCCCAGAGAAGAGGCCAGGGGTAGTACCGTGGAGGAAGGAGAGGCTGGGAGGGTCCCCAGAGTGGCCGTCAGACAGAGGGACGGGATTGTGTAGGAAGGAGGACGTGAACGACGCACCATGTGAGGATGTGACATCACTCTGGAGCAGCAGGTAGATACATGTAGTTACAATCTAACAGTAAAGATATGACCCTTGCGGCTGGAACTAGACTGACAAACTGTGATCCAGCTAATAGCATGCCATACTCTAAGCAGAGGTCTTTTTTGGCCTTTTTTACAATGCTATGTTTCCCTAGACGTTTCCATGGTGAAAGGAAAATGAAAGACATCATGGCCACTGCTAGGGAAACTGCTAGGAGAAAAGGTAAGAACAAAATAACCCTCAACAGAAACCTCTGCTTGGAGAGTGCATAAGGTGTTTAGCATGGACTTCAGTAAGCAAACTTGTTTATTACTTTCTGTAAATCATGTACATAATTGATAGCAAGGTGGCAACATTTTCCATACCGGTACATGCCAGGCCTTCCTGCATTTAGTGTAATGCATAGGCAGTCGTCCTGAACTTATCATAAAGCATTGCTGTTTTGTTGTTTTCCACAGGAACAGGGCAGTTTCCACCTCACCATGCAGCAACAAAGAGAACAGCTCCCTCAAAAACAGTCAGCCCCTCCGTTCCAAAAGAGTTTCCAGTAAGAAAAAATCACTGAGAGTTCAGAGTTCTAACAAATTTGACCTCGACCATGACAGTGACTCCGACTTTGTTCCCAGCCAGCCAAAAAAGCGCAAGGCTCCAACTCGACAAAAGAAGGCTTGCAGCAAGAAAGGAAAGACACTCAAGGGAAAGAAGAGCAAGAAAAGAAATGAATCTTGTACAAAAGCACCTGTTGAAAATGGCCAGTACTTCTCAGATTTTGAAGTACACAGCAGTGCGCATGCTAGCAACCTCTCGGGACTGAACCATTTTACCTCACAGGAGAGTATGAACTTTGGCAACAGTGAGAATGTAACAAACCCTAGTTACAGCAACTTCATAGGAGATACCTCTCCCCAGAATGACAAGTCTAGTTTGTATCTTTCCAGCCACAACCACAACTCTTCCTACTTTGACGAGCTTGTTCGTCATCGTTTGGACCAATTTGTGACAAGGGACAGAAAAGCCAACACTCCTCTTTCGTTCACATCTCCCTTTGAGGCAAACAGCAACTATGAAACACCCCCCAGCCAGGTTCAGCAAAAGAGTCCTGGTGCAAAGCGCATGCAGCCTGTAGTGATGCTGTCCAACATTTCTAAGGGGGAATTAATGGTATGGAAATATATTTCTGATGAAGGAACCTTTATTGTACAATCATGCTTGTAACTTTTAAGAGCTAGGTATCTATCTCACATAACCAACAAATATACTAGTAGGCAAGAATAAACAACAATACACGAGTGAAGCATATATAGTGGATAGAAGTGTTGTACTAAGCTAAGTAGAGTCAATGTCTTGCTTCTTTGTACATGTGTAGATTTGGGAAGATTATTGGTTGCTTTTTCTGCAACGGTTACATGTATTTGAGGTCTTATAAAGCTTAAGTTGTACTGTTTTCTCATCCAATCTTTTTGTTCTTGTTGGTACCTTCTAAAGGAGAGCAGTGATGTTGTGCTGGCTGAAGTGTCCCCAAGTTCTTCAGAGATGTCTAGAAGTCCTAAGGAGGCCTGTGCGTTGGATGTTACATCTTCAGACTTTGTTGTTCCTGAGTCCCCAATAGAACAGGTGGGGGTGGTGGTGTCAGTCAGTGTTCCTAGAATGCATCTTGACAAGTGTAGGATTAATCAGTGTAATTTCAAGACAACATCAGTTGTACCTACCTTAACCTGCACACCCAGGTGGTATTTTGAGCCCTGTATACTTATCATAATTTTTTGCCTGCAGGATTCCAGCAAGCAAGGCACAGACCTGTCTCCAGAGGCTACAGTGTTCCGGACCAGCACTCCCTTTGCAGAGAAAGGAAAATACAACCTCAGGAAGCAAGCAAGTGAAACAAAAGCATCTGGGACAAGAAAACGGCCAGCCCGTGGAGCGAAAGAATCAAACAGAGACAGGGACACTCCACCTCCCAAGCGCCATAGAGCTAAGAGCAGAAACGCTGAGGATAACAGTCAGAAGATACGTAAGACTAGAACATTGAGAACGAGACAGAAGAAAAGTTCCAATTCTGTGACTCCGTGTTCTGTCCTGGTACCTAGACTCAGCGAAAAAGATATCCAGAGGCTGTCATCTGGGAACAAACTATCCAGGAAAAAGCAACAGTCAGGGAATGTCAGAGAGTCGAAGAATAAATCAAAGAAACAAAACACCAAGAAGAAGACGCCACCAAAGAAACGTTACACTAAGAACAAGACACCACCAAAGAAACGTAACACTAAGAACAAGACGCAAGTGCAACAGAGGCAGAAGAGTTCAACAGAGAGCTTCTTCAAAACACCAGATTCTCGGTAAGATCATGCCAGAGTTGCAAGCAGAGTGCAAGCATTCTCAATTTTGATCCAAAGGTGCACAGGTTTTAAATCTTTTTTTTTTAAGCCAGGTTGCCCACATCTAGGTTTCCCATTAACAAGTCAGCATTTGAAGATTGAAAATAAAATCTCTTGTATAAGTTTTTTCCTACCTTGATTATTGTCTACTAAGATTTGTTTTTTTATGAAGAAAATTTAGATGCAGTAGATACCTGTGTAGTCTTAGCAGTCTTTCTCAACTTTATTTTGCCATCCTGCTATCCTCAGTGCTGTCTACACACCTGATGCATGTGAACACCTGTCCCCTGCTGGCTTCCTGGCCTTCACTCCTGGTAGTCGTGGCAACAAGATGGGCACGAGTCACAGGGCCAAGTCGCCTGGGTCCGGGGTGAAACAGACACCCTTGCGAGGTGCCATGGGACTCCCCAGCAGACACGGCAGCATGGTTAGTTGGCAAAACTTTGATACGGTACATCAGTTCTTAGGCTATTTCCTTTCAGCAAAAATATGACAGATCACTCAACAAATTTTATAGATAATGAACAATTTTCATACATTTTGTATGTTTTTTGCTTTTTTTGCATATATGTGAAGGTGTTATGGATGTGCTGATATGTCCACCTTGTGAAGAAATAAAGGAAGTTAAATCAACACTTTATGTGATTGTTCTTTGCATTTGTTATTTTACATTTATGAATGTTTGTTTTCCCCAGATGTCTCCTTTGTTCAAGAAGGCTGTCCAGAACAGAGTCAGGATTAGCCCTAAGGAGAAGCTATTATTACACTGTGATAAGGAAAGGATCCTCACCTTCCAGGTACAGCACAATGTTCTGTTTGTCTATCAGAACATAACATAACATGAAATTGGAGATGTCAGACTTCCAAGAAGTACTCTGGTGGGCTTTGGTGAAGTTCATCATCATCCCATTTCCTGTGTCTGACCCTTTGACAGCCTGTCATTATGCCTGTCAATCTTACCCCCACCCATGCATGTTCATTCTTGTCTATTGCTGTATCTGTTTTTGGAATGGAGCATGAAGACCTTGCATGTTGCCACCATTTCAGGAGTGTATACCCGGAGCTATGATGGAGCGCTGCGTGAAAATTGGGGAGGGCGTGTTCGGGGAAGTCTTTCGCACCAGGAGAGATGATGGCAGTTCAGTAGCACTCAAGGTGGGAAACATGAATATTACACTATAGCTGGATTTTTGCAGGAAATCAATGAAGTGAGCAGTGATTGTGGGCAGTTGTCTTGCATCTAACACACTTATATTTTGCTGATCTCTAGCCAACAATAGAATTCACTTTATACATATGTTTGTGTCACACCAATTCGATTTGTTTGTTTGTTTGTTTGTTTGTTTGTTTAAATCAAAGGAAAAGAAAAGTCTGAACTAGAAAACCAACATGAAAACAGTCAAATCTGTGCACTGTTTTATTATCTGACCTTCTGTTCCCTAGATCATTCCCATTGAAGGGGATTTCCCTGTCAATGACGAGCCTCAGAAAACCTTTGAAGAGATCCTACCTGAAATCGTCATCTCAAGGTATGTGTGTTGTTCTTGGATACAAGTACTTATGTGTATCGTTAGAAGTTCAGTTAAAATGCTTTGATGTTGATATAAGACATTGACTTGATGAATGTAAGAGTTTCTAGTAATACAGGGCTAAGATACTGGGGACATACACATTTTGTGCACCCAAAATTGGAGATGCGCTCCTAATTTTTTACGGTGGGTGCACATACATAGATATTTGTGAAGGGTTACTAAGGTAGCCTGGTATCCAGCCTTGTTAGCTTTAGTCCGCTTCCCTTGGCGGGGAGTGGATCTTGGGGAGCAGACTAAAGCTAACAAGGCTGGACACCAGGCGAATTTTAAGGTACTATTGTACTGATGTTGTTGTGAACATTTTGCAGGGAGTTGAGTGAACTAAAGGACGGCACCTGTAACCAGACGGGTGGGTTCATCCACCTGCACCGTGTGTGTCTGGTTCAAGGCGCCTGGCCAGATCACCTGCTGGCCATGTGGGACCAGTGGCACCAGGAGAAGGCGGGAGGGTCAGAGAACGACAAGCCTGACATGTTTCCAGACTCCCAGTTGTTTGTTGTGCTGGAGTTCGCGGATGGTGGCTGTGATCTCGAACACTTCCAGGTATCATTCTTATGTGTATTATGTTTACAAATTTCTTTGATGTTTCAGCATGCCCAGAAGGATGTAGAGGTGACATAATTGACAGCAAACAGTTGTCTCATTTGATTTTCTGTAAGCTGATGTGTTACTGTGTTGTTTATAATACTAGTCTCTATTGTATATACAATCTTATTATGGAGTAGACAAGTTATATGTCTGTTTGATAGATGTATTTCAGTTGTTCAACTGATGGCAACCAATATCACCAAGCTGCCTAATAGCCCATTGTATTGCATTTTTGTGATTCCAATAGAAAGAAACATGTTATATCCTGCTTCAGTGTCGTTATAAAACAAGCTGTTTTCCCTCCTGTAGTTCCACAGCCTGAGCCAAGCCAAGGCCGTCCTACACCAGATCACCATTGCCCTGGCTGTTGCGGAGGCTGCTCTCCAGTTTGAACATCGTGACCTCCACTGGGGAAACGTGCTGGTGAGGAAAGTAGAAGAGCAAAGCTCCACCCACCACCTGGCAGGGGAGGAAGTGTGTGTGGCCACCAGTGGACTGGATGTGAACATCATCGACTTCACGCTCTCTAGGATGCAGAAGGGTGAGTTGGTGTAGAGATATCCTCATTACAAGTAAGGAAGAGTTAGCTTCCTTGGCAGGCTCTACAAATGATGCTCTTTAGGTGGCTCATACGATACACTTTTGCCTGTTCTTATGGTGTACAACTTCTATTCTGTACAGAAGTGATATGTCATACGAAAAAAAATGCATCATAGAAGCAATAAAAAAGCCCCATACATAGTCTGCTAAGGAGGCCACAGAAAAGTCAGGTATTGATCATCACCAGAAAAGTCAGCCATATTTTGTTTTGCACAACTTGACACTTATGAAAGGTCTGCTTCCTACCTTTCCTGTCAAACTTCTGGCTCTTGATCCTTTAAAATGTATTCATTATTCATTATAAGGTTTCCTTAAAAGATGACTGTGCAAACAAAACAATGACGAATAATTGCTTCTATCCCCCTGTAGATGGCCAGCCGTTATACTGTGACCTGTCAGCTGACCCTACCCTGTTTGAGGGAAAGGGAGACTATCAGTTTGACATCTACAGGGAGATGAAGAAGGAAAATCAGTATGTTGTTATTATTGTCACATTATTATTGGGTGGGCAGCCTAGTCTCTATTTGCAGCCAGGTAAGGATGAATGGTAAGGAGCTTACAATTGGTATGGCTGAATCACAGGGACTGGACCACAGGTCATTATGTTGGGTCAGAATAAAGCTGCTTTCCAAAAATTGTGAAGCTCAGAAACAAGGGGCAGAACCCAAATTTGTGACATAATTATAAAGTATAATATTTTGATTTTTTAATGTATATCCAGCAACACTTAATCATTATAAGTATCACTTCGCAGGCCATCCTCTTTTGAATTTTTTTGTTGAGTTGATGCAGTACCACAGATCAAGATACTAGTATATCTGTGCATCTCTTACACCTTTCTTTCTCCCTTCCCTATGAAACAGAGATAACTGGAAGCGACACCACCCGTACACAAATGTGTTGTGGCTGCACTACCTTGCAGACAAACTTCTGAACAAGAAGTACAGAGCCATCAAGAAGAGCCAGAGGCAGTGGCAGCAGAAGTTCAGAACCTTCCTGAAACAAGTCTTAGCGTGTAGGACAGTAGCGCAGGTGTTGGAAGACTGCCAGCTTTTAAAAGAGAAATAGCTACTGACTCTGAAAACTTTCAGTTAAGTTTTGCAGGATGTAAATGTTACCCTGTATGGTTTTTTATGGAGAAGTAGCTATTCCGAAAACTTATTTCAGTTTTGCAGGATGTAAATGTTACTCTGCATAGTTTTTTAAAGGAGAGATAGACACTCTGAAAACTGTAATGTCAGTTTTGCAGAATGTAAATGTAATCCTCTGTGTATATATATGCTCAAATGACTGGGCAGGGCTTGAAATTCATCTTGGGCACTGTTACACTGGTGTACCTAACCTGAAAGCCCAACATAGAACAAAATAGGATGTCATTGAACCATTTTTATGAATCTTACTGCCTTTCTTCAGAGTATGTATCTGAAATTCCATAAGTAAATTTTAAAAAGTAATGAACGGTTGTTTTTTTTCTGACCATTCAAGGACATCAGTGTACTCGTGTACCCTTGCATCTAGATATCTGTGTAGTGTTAGATATGTATAACACTGTATATATTTTTAAAGTTTATTTACAATAAAAAAGCAATCTTGACATGATTTCATCTCACTTCACAACATTTTCTTTTATCTTTTGTGTGACTAATGTCTCCTGCTCCTGAGCTTAGTTTAGAGGCTATGTATTTGAGAGGAGAGGGAGGCGGAATACTAGTATCCAAAACAGGAATTTTGTTGGGTAGAATGGAAAAGAGGCTTTAGCAGTGTTTCTAGTTTGAAACAACAACAAAAACAAATTCACAGTGTCTTGATTTCGAGGTAGAGAATTGGGATAATACAAAGAGGAGAACCGCGCGCCAAAATAAAACCGCACCAAACATTTTAAGATTTAACTGGAATGTACACAAAGTCCTCAGCTTCCGTCGTACAACTTTCTTGTATGTATGCTGTGAATAAACTACACAATGATAAAGCTGTTCTGGAATGTGTTATTTAACATTCGTCGTTCTGCCTTTAATTTCCACCTGCTATTTACGTGGTTTGACACGTTAATATTTAACTCACATCCAAATCTCTGACGTCACTGGAAGGATACGGGACGACAGGGCGCGACAGAAACAACATTAGGGCCAGGTGTTGGAGTGGTTTCTTATCGCATTACCGCTTCTCCCTTCTGTGTTGGCCAGAGACAAGCCACCACGGCATTCTTGATTCACACCAGTTGTCTGAGAAGTTCGTAGAAGGAGCGTTAGCAAAGTATCTGCGGATCACACCGAATCCTAACCATGATGAAACAGGTGTTGCTGTTGGTCACCTGTCTGGTCGTCAAAGGTATGTGTTCTTTATTAACGCCACATTTAGGGCAATCTCCTTGTTTATATTTTTACCGAGAAGCCTATACGGTATAACGTAACGATATGGAAAACTTATAAAATACCGATACAACAGATGGTAAGTCCTACATGTTTGGTGACATTAGTGTTCTGTGGCCAGGTAAAAAACATTTTTGTTTTACGATGGATAAACAATACCATATGAATACGTCTACCATATGTTCTGTAAGTGTTCTATAATCATTTGACGCTGCTTGCTAGGGAGGTGGCTACCTGTATATCATGCGTCCAGTGGGAACTGTAGCGTATTGATTCGATCCTTTTGCAGTAGAACTTCCTATGTCCTCGGTTTCGCGACCGAGTCTTTCGGATCCCTATTTCACTTTTATTACCACTGTTTCTCCTTCTTGATTTTTAATGTCCCCTTTTATTCCCATTCCTGAAAGATACTAGAAGCAGAACAGCTGTAAATATAATCGAATGTTCGTTAATACGGTATCAGAAAAAAACATTGATATTTAGCGGTTTGCACCATGATCAACTTACTCTTTTCGGTGTAGTTCATTGGAGTTTTGAAATGATTTTGCCAAAAATATGGAGCCCAACTTGTTATTCGCAATTAGCTCGACTGTCGCAGGCACGTCTGTGTGTGTGTTTATCTGTCCGTTGTTAACTCAGTTAGACACACATTCCGCAGGAGGTTTGCACGGTAGACTATGCTGCCAAAGCTAATACTAGTAGTAGCTAATTCGTTTCTTCCAACGAAGGCCACACAAATTATATATGACATCACCGGTACCACACATCTAATGCAAGAGTGCCATACATTGTAAATATAAGATACTTTGATTCTAAATGGAGAAAATAAATCTATAGTACTCTTGAAAATAAAACAATAACAAAAAACAACTACAAACACATGAGGCTTCATTGACTTGATGTAATATTTGACATTTGACAGGTCTTGCTGAATGTCCTGACATGTGCCCGTTCATCTACGACCCTGTGTGCGGGTCGGACGGAGAGACGTACAGTAACGAGTGTTCTCTCAAGGTTCACGCCTGTCAGCTGGGAGGAGACAAGCTCACCATGGTAAGGATTATAATATGGATAAGTAATACATAAGTCATTATCAAAATATAGCAGAATGACTTACATATGCATTCAATGCATATCCAAATGACAAATAGTAAGTTGCTGTATTTTCAATTGAAATTTATACAGAGATTTTGTGCACTGCTCACACTGCTTTTATATTTGATTCTAGGTGTCCAGAGGAGAGTGTCCAGAGGTTATGAGCCGGAGCCAACCAGCTATAGAGAACCGAAATGTAAGTATCGTGTTTCTCTTTTCCTATTTCACTTCCCATAGTCGATGATAGAGAAATACATTGTACAATATTGCGTGGGCCGTCGCATTATCGTCGCAGTCGTGGACGTGTCGTGCAGAACATCTGCCTTGTAGTGGTTTGTTCGCAGAAGAGGCTACATTAGATATCATTGCCTTGATCATCAATGTCGGCGGTTGGTTCTGTTCACATGTACGGTCTGCTTGAAAACTCTACAACAAGTATTGCACCAAAGTCGCACAGCGACCTACGACGAATGTGACCGCGCCTGATTTAAAAAGGTCGCAGGCTGTAATGGAATGTGACAAAAACTCATAATCCACTCGGAGCCGTTTGATTTTATTTGATGTTGTCCTATATAATGCTCCAGGCTGTGTGCGTTGCTGAGAGGCGCGGCTGTCCCAGGATCTACAAGCCCGTGTGCGGGTCCGACAAGCACACCTACCCCAACGAGTGCGAGCTCTGTCGGAAAATGGCGGTCAGTATTAAAAGTTCCTTTTGTTCAACGGCAGTGACCACGCATTAGATGTAACTGTTACATGCTTCATTCATTCGTCCTTTAGTTATTTAGTTACTTGGTGAATGACTAGATTCGTTCATTCATTCATTCATTCATTCATTCATTCTTTCGTTCATGCAGTCAGTCAGTCAGTCAGCCATGGTTCAGTCATGATCAATCAAAAAGAAAGGAGGTTCTCACTTCTAGCGTATCAGTTTTGTAGCCTGACTTGACAACAACAAAAACATGTAAGGTTACTGAATGACCAGCACAGTCGTAATTATTTTTGTCGTTATATTATTTTGTCTTGTAGTATGTTTTTGGTTTGCGCAAGTCATAGTCTTATGAGACTGACTGACATATATATAGTATGTTCAACTTTTGCTATAACCCTGTATATACATGTCATACGTTGTATGGTTAAACAATTGTTGTGCAGTTTATTACCTATACGTAATTAACCGTCCTCATCCCCAGGAGGCCGCAGTGAAGACGGAGATCCGAGTCCGCCATGAGGGTGAGTGTACCCCTGAAGAGGAGGCACAGGCAGGTGACACCAAGACAGGTGGCCGGCGGCTGTAGATGACAGCTGCACCTGAGCTAGTGCAACAGCTGGTGGAATACATCCACATGCTTACTGTGAATAAACGTTCACGCAATTCTGAAAAAGATAAATGGTCTGTGTTATCATTTGAGTCTTGTCATTCGTAGAACTTTCTAATAAGTTAATAGTATAGCCAGGATGGAAGGTGGGATTAAAAAATCACCAGATGAGTGTGTGAAACGGAAGTGTAATGTTATTGAAGTTATGAAGACGACCGTGCAATGCATTTTCCAGTGCACTGCAGCCAGGTTGTTCACCTTGTAACATACCGAATACCGTTGATGAAGGTTAGACATCCAGGTAAACCATACTCGTAAGAAAATTCAAACTCTACTACTGGATCAGTTACGGATTTTTATTTCCGGACGTTTCGAGTGACATCCATCACTCTTCTTCAGCGTCACAAATGAACAGAGAACCGATTCACTCTTATATACAAGTAACTAGAAAAACCGGTTAAACAACAAGACTCTTACGGTTGTTGAACAGGTTTTTCTAGTTCTAATCACCTGTATATTGCGTGAACCGTTCTTTTACATAAAAGAAGAAGAACTTTATTGCGCAACAGATGTAGCAGGTACAACGTATGGCAAAATGATATATGATAAAGCTTCTTACGGACCTTGTTGTTTAACCGGTTTTTCTAGTTACTTGTATATAAGAGTGAATCGGTTCTCTGTTCATTTGTGACGCTGAAGAAGAGTGATGGATGTCACTCGAAACGTCCGGAAATAAAAATCCGTAACTGATCCAGTAGTAGAGTTTGAATTTTCTTACGAATACCGAATACCGATTCATATGCAGTACTGAACATTACTGACAGATGGCGCTTATACACTATCACCTAGCGCCAAACGTCATCAAACTGTGTGCTCTATGTGACGTCATGTAGCAACAGCGCACACGCCGCCCGCTGAGAAAGGTAGTTACCAGCAGGTAAAGTTTGATCGTTAGTTGTGTCCTAAAATATTCGACTTTTATTGACTGCTCAGTAATATATTCAGGATATAGATTAAGACCAGCTCACACTTGCAACAGTAGAGGGCACTCAAAGAGATTATTCGCCCCGGGAAGTTTGGACATTGATATTTTGAAGCTCGTTGCGTGATCGTAAGTTGTTGTCGTTGTTGTTGTTGGAATCGTCGTTGTTTGTCTGCGTTTTGCCCGGCACTTTGGGTTTATTCTTCCTGAAATATACAGTTTAAAGCTGTATTAAAGCTGCATAAACTTGTATGTGGGTTGCTTGGTATGCCATGTTTTGAATTTGGCAGTAGCACCCTCCCCCCTTCGAGCTCCCCTAGCTAGGTGAAAGAATCATTTGCCAGTGAGACCTAAAATGTAACACTTACTAGTACTTACTAGTTTCAACCCACAGTACAGTCGCGCATGAGTATCCAGTATGGGCAAGAAAGTAAAGAAAGAAGTAGAGCCGCCACCCAAGGATGTGGTAAGTAGCTCCATTATTTACAGGTTTAAGTTGTGAGCAACATAATCATAAAATAATTTAAGGTTATATGCAGACACCATACATGCAAATCTAATATTGTCACTGTTCATGCTAGTCAAGGTCATATTCAACAGGTGAAACATTGACCTTTGTCTTGTACTTATGAAGATACAGACCACCCATGCAAATGAATAAATAAAAATAAAAGTCAGTATGGTCTGTGTGGACAGGTGGTCTTGTGTCTTACTTTGCCTAACTTAATGCTTTTTGTAAAATTGTGAAATTGTCTATGTGACCATCAAAAAGTGGTCATATTAGCCAGGTGGTCATTATGTACAGGTGGTCACTTGTAGGTTTGACAGTTACTGTATTTCAGTGGCCAGGTCCTTATATAGAGATGGCCACTAACAGGTTTGACCATAACTTACAGTGTAAGGTTGTAATTATTCCTTTTGTTGTATTTGTAGTTTGATCCTGTGGGAGTGGAGAGTAAGAAGGCCCAGACTGTAGTGCTGATGCTCAGCAGTCCTGAGGAGGAGGTCTTGAGTAAGGCATGTGAGGCAGTCTACAAGTTTTCAGAGAAATGTGAGTATTCATCTCACCTCCATTACGGTAGTATTACCATCATCAGATCTTACTACCAGGATATCTATGTATGAATGAGAAATGGTGTCTTAGAGGGATTTCTAGTGCAGCACCCCCAGGTATTCACATTTCAGACATGCAAGGAGTGCATCATACTGGGAGACGTTGCAATGGAGCATTACATGCATTTTCCAGTGTGGCAGATGTATGTGACCTGACAGATTTATGTTGGCAGATAGGAAACTGCCAGATGTGTCCCAGCAATTGTCTCCAAATGTATCAGGATGCTCAAAATTGATATCCAAAATGCTTCTTGTAGTGAATGAAAATAGATGGGCCATTCAGAAGTATTGAAGACAGTGCAATTTTTACAACCTTTATCTCCCCTTCCTCAGGTGAAGAGAACCGAGGCACGATGTTAGAACTGGGTGCAGTGGAACCACTTTTCCGTCTCCTTAGCAACGAGGATAAACTGGTCAGAAGAAATGCCTGTATGGCTTTCGGGGTGCTGGCTGAGCATGGTAAGGAACACCCTCATATGTTGTCAAAACTGCCCAAGAAAACCACTTAGAGGACCCCAAAAATCTGGTCTATGTCGACAGGTGGTCACTATACTAGTATGCTCATGTTCATCTAAACTCAGAATGTCCTGATTCTAAAATGTGCTTACATGTGAAAAGTGGTCATTCAAATTTTACCTGTATGGGTCTAGTCACTGAAGAACTTGTTTTGCTAAGATTTCAAGTTTGTCATTGGTCATCAGCAGAACAGGCCATTGTATTTCTGTTCTATAATCTCTATAAGTCTGAACATCAGTCACAGCTTTGGATGTTTTCTTTTCAGCTGAAGTCAGGAAGGTGATGCGCAAGATAGAATGTATCCCAGCAGTCCTTGCTCTCCTTGCACCTGAAGGTAACTTTGAGGCTGCATTTCACATATTTCTGAAATGATATGATGACACCAATTGCTTTTGTTTCGCATACATATTTAGAACATGTACAAATAGAAACTGATTGATTTTGTGCTTTACTTTTGTGCTTTTGGTCTAATGATCTTTTTGTAATCCTCAGAGGACACCATATGCCATGAGTTTGCCTCCCTTTGCATATCCAACATGGCGCAAGAGTTCACCAACAAGGTCATCATCTTTGAGCAGAGCGGACTGGACTCGCTGATCCGCCTCATGGCCTCGCCTGACCCTGATGTTCAGAAGAACTCCACAGAAGCTCTGTGCAGACTGGTCGATGTAAGAAAAATCAGCATGTTTTATCTTACTATGTTGTTGATCTCAGATTCATGTAGAGGATTTAATCAATCTTTGTATGATAGGCCTGATATACTAGTACATGTACTATAACTGGATGTTTTGTATGCCTTTTTCAGGACTTCCACAGTCGTGCTGCTATTCGAGAACTGGGAGGTGTTCCACCACTGCTGGACCTCCTGAAGTCGGAATATCCTGCCATTCAAACAGTGGCCTTGGACACACTTACCAAGATCACGCTAGACGGTACACAACTCTAAACTTAACTCCCCTGCTTCAGGGCTAGGGATTTTTTCAAGTAATGGACATGATTAGAACTTGCAAAAAGAAAGAGGGAGATAAAGGCCCAAGTTTTGCCCAACTGATCATGTACCTTTTATAGTACATACCTTGCTTGCAGGTTCTATTCATATAACATTAGCAATTTCTTTCTTGGAATTGACATCCATTTTGCCTCTCTTTCCCCGCTTGCAGCTGAAACCAGAGCAACACTTCGAGAAGCAGAAGGGCTGGAGAGGCTGATTGAGTTTCTGGGAACAAAGGTTAGTCCATACCTGACTTTTATCTTTATTTATTCATTTGCAACAGGCACATGGCCCATATCCAACAAACAGTCTGATACAAACAATTGCATGAAATATTTTAAAATGTATCAAGAAAATCTTGATGATTGAGTGGTTCTCAGCCACTGATGAAAGATAGCGGATGTTATCTGAAACATTTGACTCCTCAGAGAATTTATCCAGTTGCTTGGTTTATTTTTTTATTATGTAATGTTCTACCTGAATGTCTGACCACCGACATTGTGTCTTTTCTTGTGCTTTTCCAGGAGTTTGACGACCTCCATGTGAATGCCTTACATGTCCTCTCCAACTGTCTGGAGGATGCAGAGTCAATACTGGAGCTTCAGGGCACCGGAGGTCTGCAGAGACTCATGCAGTTCACTGCAGAAACAACCATTCCAGATGTTCAACAGTACGCAGCAAAGTCAATTTCCAAAGCTACAAAGTATGGTAAGTGTTTCAACAGGTGTTTTTCTTAATATGTATGATATAATTTCCATGTTATGTCATAAGAAGAAATCGCTATCAAACATGGCAGTATGGCTTGTAGACATTTTCCCACTTTGACAGTTTTCCTATCATCTGAAAATTTCCCCCTATGAAGAATTTCTCCTTGATGATAGTCAAATCGTGTCAAAGCTTGTTGCACAACAATTGTATTTAAGTACTAGACTGTTGGCAGGTAAGAATATCTAGAATGTGTTATAAGTATCTTATTCTTTGTTTCTTCAAAAATTGTTTCTTCAAAAATGTTATGTGTTTACAGCTGAAAACTGGAAGATGTTTCATGAGAATGAAGTGGAGAAAGCGCTGGTAACCCTGTTGGGAGCTGACAGTGCGTCTGTGCAGGTGGCTGCTGCCCAGGCCATCTCTGCCATCTCTGAGCACACGGGAAGCAAAGATGCTTTCTGTAAAGTTGGTTAGTATATCATATCCTCACTGACTCAGTAATGGTAATGTCACTGTCAAATATAGATCTGATGTATTGCTTGAACTTGGTGAAAAGACAATGCAAAGAATGTTGTTCTGCAAATTGTTTTTTCCATATACACCAAAATAAAGTTGAAAGCAAACCAACTGTAATAGAAATGGATGGAATCTTAACTGTGAATTTTCCTCTGCAGAGGAGGCAAAGGGAATGGAGTTACTGGTGAAACTTCTGTCGAGTGAAAACAGCGATGTGAAAGAGGCAGCAGCACTGGCAATCTCCAACCTGACCACTGCTCATCCCACTAACTGTTTGGAGGTTGTGGAGCACAGTGGTATCGAGCCACTGGTCCATCTCCTTGCAGATCAAAAGGTAAATGTCTTTGGGTTGTGATTAGCCCCCTGCCACTGGTATGTATTATGTTAAATAGCAGTCACGTGATCACCCATGACATATTTAGTCCGTCCATCAACTCCATGTTGGCTATGCTGTGTTGATTAAAGCCTTCCAGAATCCTCTGCATCCACGGCTTCTGGTTGTTGAACATGCATCATTGGCCACTGTAGTGGCGTGGTGGCAGCTCAGTGGGTCACATATACCCCAGAATTTCCATGCCAATCCGCAAATCAGTATCAGTGACTCATTCTCAGTCTATCAGTCTAGCTTTCATTGTCATATTAGAACAAATGGCTCATAAGTCATGAATTCTGTACTCTCAGGATGGGGCGGTGGCGAATGCAGCAGTGGCCCTGGCCAACTTAGCTGGAGATGAGATCATCAGGATGGAGGCGGTGAGGATGGGCGTGGTACCTGCCCTCATCCAGCCGCTCAAGTCCAACAACAGCGTGGTCATCAGTAAAGTGTGCCTGGCTCTGGCTGCGTACATGTGTGATTCAGATGCCAGGTGGGTCTGCATTTCATCACTCACATTTTATTAAAAAAAAAAAACATAATTACATTTGCAGGAATGTATACCTTAGTTCCTTAGAAACATGTCTACAAGAAATGCCCTCATTACATAAACTCCATTACATGAATGAATTTGAATTAACTGTTGAACCATCAGGGCTGTGTAAAATTTGACTGGAGGTGGCTGGCTACACCAGGTTTGACTGTACTTGATGTGTGAATTTGTGATAACTTAATGCTCAAATTGTAGGTCGGAGCTGCGTTCCAATGGAGGACTGGAGATCCTTATAAAGCACCTGAACTCAGACAACGATGACGTGCGTCGTGCTGCAGCCTGGGCTGTGCTTGTATGCGGAGGAGACCCACCAACTGCCACAGACATCTGCAAGTTGGGGTAAGGCCTGCTCATTTCTTTCTCCTTTTCATACACATCTCTCCAAATTTATGGTGATGATGTTCCATCCCCATTAAATGCAACCAAATGAAGCTGCCAAATTTTATTCTCACTTTCACAACATGTCCTGTGTTTCTGGAACTCCACAGAGGTCTGGAGATTCTCCAGGAAATCAACCAGTCTGTGTCCAGGCAGAACAAGTTCACTCAGGCAGCCATGGACAAACTCCTGGACTCCAACCTGCCGGCCAAGTTTGCCCTGACTGGCTATCTGGGACCAGACAACAGCATTGCAGATGGTTTCTTTGATGCTGGGCCGGTAGGTATTTTTGTTTTTATATGGTACATCTCATAGAGGTTGTGATGTAAAATCTATTACTGATAAGTTAACAATTCTATTACTGGTAAGTTAACAATTCTGCCAGGTCACCTATATTTGCCATCTCGGAGTCATTCATGTTCATATATTCAGTATACCAAAGTTCAATTTTTATTTTTGTAACTTGCCATGTCCATGTCTGAAGTTACATGTGTGCTCTTTAAACCCCCCAGTTGAGGCCAGACTCTCGCTTCAAGTCTTTGGATGAGCTCAGCACTCAGGAGGTTAATGAGAAGAGGCCCATCCTGCTGGTTAACGTCCAGCCTCAGGAGCAGCACTCTCCACAGCCCCCGGAGGTGGAGAGTAAGACAGAAAGTAAAGCAACCAACCAGAAACCGTCCAAGAAGGAACTAGCAAAGTAAGCTCACAGATAACCACATCATAAACTTAGTTTTATATGCTATTTTTGTACACAAAGTAAAGTGCCAACAAGCTTTGAAACAGTCATGGTAAAAAACAATCTGTAGGAAACTAACATGACCTCACTTTTTTGCAGAGGAAAAAGCAAGGCATCCAAAGAGAAGGAAGAAAAACAGAAGGAGGAGGAAATGCAGCTTCTGCAACTGATTTTACAGGTAACACTCATTCAAGTTTACTGATGTACTTATGATTGAAGTGAATGCTGACATTCTGGGTTCTGCATCACTGTCACAAATTTCTGCTGGTTTTTAATTTTTTTTTTTTATTGGGATTTTCAGAAAAGAAACTGGGAGGAGTCAGCAAACAGGATATACATGTAATCCTTTGACAAGGCTGACTCCTCCAAACAAATAATAAATAATAAAAACATGAGTATACAAAATATGAAATATAAGAATAACAATAATAATAATTCTTATATTTCATATTTTGTAGGTTACAATAGGTTACAATAGGTTAGGCAGCAGAGAGAAGATCAAACACTTTGCTGTGTAAATGTGTTTCAACATTTGTTAAGGTCCAATTTGACTGCTAAACATGATATTCTTTATACAGCAACAAGAGGGAGACAGTGGGTCGTACCACCCTCCAATGGACCATGCCCTGTATGAGTACATTGGTGAAGTTTCCAGCAAGATCAGGCCCATGCCTACCACCAGAGAGCAGGTCGTTGCACTTGCAAGGTGAGTCTTCTGTCGCAGTATTTTAACTTCCATTCATTAGGATAAGAATGAGAATTTTAAAAAAGCATGTAAGTCCAAATTGTCAATTGTCAACAAGTTGTTCAGAATATTGAACTCTTTCATCACTTAGCCTATCCTTTAATATGTGCTGTCTACTGCCAATTCTACCCTTTATTTGGTTTTAGTTGTAGTTGTAGTACCCAATACCTTGTTGTTCCTCAAGGGTTGTTTGATATCTTGTCATCCCTGCAGGTTTGTAGCCTACAAGATGGGAGGACCCGTTGAGCGAGGCAAGCTCTCAACCTTCAGCTACGAACTGCCCATCAGTCAAATTAAGTACGAGTTGAAGTCAAACATTTTACCAATTGGGCGGATCAAGACTGGCATACACTATCACCGAGCCTTGCTCTTCAAGGTACACATGCACCAGTTTCTTGGTTAAGTATTGCTCTCTTTGTCGATGGAGGTTAGACATCCAGGTAGACAACTGGATAAATTCTGTGAAGAGACATTTCAGCATTGGCTATGTGTGATCAGTCTCTAATGAAAGATAGGAGATGCTGTGTGAAACATCTGACTCTTCAGAGAATTTATCCAGTTGTTAGATTAATCATTGTTTTCTATGTTTTACTACTGACTGCATTATGTGTTTGAGATAGACTGCTAACTTTGCTAAATGAATGCACTTGTTTAGGGCTTGTCTTGAGCAAGCGTATTCAACTGCTGTGTTATACCGTAGTTCATCTTTTTTCTTCTGGACAGGCACTCGCTGACCGGATTGCTGTCCCGTGTTCCCTTGTACGTGGAGAATACAACAGAGCCTGGAATGAGGTCGTGCTGAATGTTGATGACACTGTAAGTTCCCTGCTTGTAACGTTAGTTCTTGTATATAGTAGACTGGTTTATTCATTCTTCAAAATCAGACTCATGCACTGACTAGCCCTTACTTATTGTTTCCTCCAAGTTTTCTGCTTTGCTGCCAAAAGTTATATCCCTACCTCAGACTCTCAGCTATATAGCTTACTGTAGTTACTGACAGGCTGCCAATTCTTTTCCAGGCCAATGGTGCAAAGTATCCTCCAAAGCTATACGTAGTTGACTTGATGCACATCCCAGGGAGACTGATGGAGGGAGACTCTTCTGAAGCTGTCCAGTACAAGAAATTATAGATCTGCCATATTGTAAGGTCACAACATTCCTTTGATTACTGTAAATCTTGTGTTTGCAGCAGTTTTATGTTCACGGTTTTGGCAGAGATCTCTTACCATGAAGTCATGGCACCTCAGTTGTGTGTCAAATTTCTGTGATGAGAAGTTACCACAACCCAGATGTAGCACTGTGACAAATATTTCAAGATTTAACAGTAGCATTTCATCAAATTAACTTGATGTTGTAATTAATGCAAAGATTCATGAAATGCTGAAATTTGTATATGTTTTTTGGGGTGTCATTTGCAGAGAATGGGCAATAGTGGCATCTGGAAAATTGTGGCAAGAGTGTACAAGTGACACTCTTGTTTGTAATTTTGCTGTGATAGATGTGATCTATTGTACAGAATTATAATTGGGCTGTACATATAAGTAAATAAATAAAAGTATGTTTGCTAAGTTGTCTTGTTGTACTTCATTTTCTAACTGCATAAAGTAGCCAGCTAGTCATTAAGTTCAAAAATTTATTTCAAGAAGCATCTTCTGCTTCAACAAACATCAAAAACATGACATTTTTCCTGTGTCCTGGGTATTTCTTATTTTGAAATTATCATACTGAAGTTAATACAACATTGAATGATTGTCTGACACAAGAACTGGTACAAAATGTATTTTTCATAATTCATTTCAACACATATGTCACATTTTCTACACTCAATTATTTTCTTTTAACTGCTGTCCATCCACCAGACCACTAACAATTCTCAAATCCCAAACATGTTACTTTGTACTAATTCGAAAATCCATTCCCATTTCTACTTTCATTTGAGCAAGGAAAGATGTCTATGTACCGTCAAGTTTCCATTTTTCAATACATACTGTGAGTTTAGAGTTACACATCAGACTTGTATGTTGGGTGCAGAATAATCTCAATACTCTATTGCCTTGACACGGTATTGCGCTAACAAAACTTACCCTTATATACAATATTGTTGTTCGCTTGTAAATGTATCCCATGAAATTCTGACAAAGTTAAAATCACATGATTATTATGAAAAGTGTGTCATAGAAAAGTTTTCACATTCACACAGAATTTGGTACTAAAGCAGCCATTCTGCAATCAAAGTCACCATTGAAGTCAGTTTCAACAGCTACATGAGGATCAATACACAGAAATATAGCAGCATTGAGGCAGCTGGAAGATATCGCTTTAGCAGACTTATCTTTCAAGCATAATCTTTCACAAAATGTCTATCGTACAAGGGGCTGTGCTAGCTCCTCTACCCTCTGTGAGCACCGGCCTTTTTTGGCTGTCTCCTTCACCAGAAAAGCATCAGGGTCAAATTGCACGTGGTCCATAGTGGCTCTGACGATGGGGACAGACAGTTGGGCGAGGCGTTCCGTGTGTTGGGTGCGGCGCGCTGATCGTGAGACTGGCCACATGACCTCCCGGTTGGCCACAAATCCGTCAGCCAGACCTTTCGGCTTCGCCAGTTCTAAGAGCCTCTGTGTCGCTGATGCAGTCCGTGCCTTTCCATTTACCTAGTAAATATTCATACACATGTTAAAACAGTCCTGTCTTTATAATAATTATACCTTTTAACATCTGAAGCATGATGCTAAAAATGCAAGGTACACTGTGCATTCAAAAATACACTGGCCTTGTTAGTGATGAAGAGCAGCCACTTCAAACTACGACAGGCTGGTTTTAGAAAGTAAACTTGATAATCTCTATGAAATAACCTTAAAATTATTGGACTTCAAACTTGAAATTTTTTGTTACCTTCCAAATAGACTGTTCTGGGTGGCCTGGTTCCAGAAATGGGCCAGCTGGTCGGCTTTTAGGGCGAGCAAGGTCCTCAACCCGTGGAGTTGCCACTGTTCGCTGTGCTGGCCCTGGCACAGTTGTCTCCACCTGTTTCACAATATCAGAGTGATTCATATGTCTCATAACATGGAATATAGATCCATTGATCAAGTATGGAATAAGCCCTTTCACTTGCACTTTATTTATTTTACCAGTAATTTATACAACTCAGGCCATTTTGGCCTGCTTTTCAGGTGATCCTGGATAATCCTGGATCCTTTTCAGGTATAGTATGATTCGACATCCCTATGATCTGTCAATAACCTATGTTCAAATAACCCTATGTCGGAACATAGGGGTGCTGGAACATACTTGGGGCTATTGTAGCAATATGAAAGCAGGAAAGTACATGTAAGGATGTATTCTTTACCTGTCTGTTGCCTGTGTAGTACTGGTGTGGAGTTTTGGGACGTGCCAGGAATTCGGTTCTTTCTCTACTGGGGCATCTCTTTGCCCCCTCTGTTACACTCCATATCCCATCAGAGAATGCATTTTCAGGCCTGTTGTGTATTCAAGAAATGAAAGTTACAGCTTCTGCATGCTAGCATGGTAATAAGCTACGGTAATACATTACGATTGAAAATTGGTGTAGCTCATATGCACCCAACTTTTTTTTGTTAACATCAGTTACTCGTAGACAAAAGGCATATGCAAATTATTGGTAGTCAAAAAACTAGCACCCACATTTTGCTTATCAGTCGTTGGCAAAATGCAATCACATGACAATCACTCATGTAAGAGTTATTCACTCATTTGATGTTGGGAGCGATCACATGCTAATCAAGGCTAACTCTCAGGCTAGTTATCTAAGTTGTAGATTCAAGCAAAGTACATATAGTTTTACGTTACCTGTCATCCTGATATTCTGGTGGCGGCATTTTTGGAAGGGCGAGCACTTTGACACGCTCGGTAGACTCTGCAGTCATTGCCAATGGACTGACCTCCCAGACAAGAGAGGAACGGCCACAGCTGTATGTAAACTCAGGCCTGCAAAGAAATGTGACACACTGTCAAATATGAATGGAAATTAGAGTCTATTATGTCTCTAGATTGTCTTTGCTACAATTAGCTTGTGCTGATTTGACGTGATGTAGTCAGGCAATGCTACAATGTGATTTGGGGTACATTGTTGATTGTATAGATGTCTGGAGTGCTCACCTGCAGATTTTCCTGCCTGTTTGGAAGTTTCTCTTGGAAAGTGCCAGACGTTCCAGACGTGGAGATGCCGATGCCCTTAGTGCTGTTGGAGACAGTGGCCACAGGTGGTCTTGGTTACCCCAAACCAACTTTGGTCTGAACAGGATAGAACAACAGTAAGTATAAAGCAGAAGAGTATAATGCAAAAGAGAAGAGGTCCTTCTATAATAAAAGGTTCAAACCTTACAATTAAGTCTATCAGAGTTGACATTGTAGAAAGGTGATAGTCACCTGTTATGCCAATCCTTCTATAAATGATAATAACTGAATTACTCACTCATAGTTAGTCAGCCACACAGACTTGGACGTTTTTGGTGATGCTAGTTGGTAGACCCTCCTTAGCCTGTGGGAAATAATGGTATAGTTATTGCAGATTCAGACACAAAATTTCATTTCAAACTCAAGGGGTTGTATGTATACATGTATGTATGTTCCTTTCCAAATGCAACACTGACAGGCAATTAGAATCACTTTTGTTACATCACTTGTATTCTATTTTGCTTCACATCTTTTAATGTCCTTTTATTCCCCATTTTCAACAAAATTCTCCCCTCCTTTCAAAGTTATTCAACAAAATAGTCAGATAGAAAATACAGAAACAAATTTAAATGCTGATCTGTCTAATTCAATTTCAATACATCACAATACTCACGTTGTTGCCTGGTCAGTTGTATCCATTGTATCTGTTGATGAATAGAAGGAAAAGGCAATGTCACTGATTTTAGAGACACTAGAAATTATTATAGTGATATATGATATCATTCTGCATTACATAATGTTCTACCTGGATGTTTAACCTTCATCAGTGCATCGTGACATTAGATATTATACATGCATGTACATGCTGCTGGAAATTAAACTAATGTAACAGAACCAGAACTGTGCTCTACTGCAATGTTGGCAGCATTTACTGGCCATCCCTGGGGAATTGAGGGACCAGAAGACAAGACCTAACACATCATTGTACATGCAGGACAACATTGTAAAGAATGTCAAAACTCCAAAAGCTCCACCAATAGTTGGAAAAGTACATTCTCATTCCATACTACAGAAGTCTTGTGTAGGGTAGATTAGTTTCATAGCATGTTTGTTGTTAAGTAGATGCCATAGGTTACAACTAGTTACAACTGTTGTGCAAGGATTTTAAAGTTTTTCTTTCATGTACATATAGGCAACAGGTGATCAAAATGTAAACACAGTGGAAGAGAATAACATCGTCACCTCAGCTTTGACAGCAAGTTCCAGCTACTGTGATATTAATGTGTGGCATGCTTAGTCTAACCATGTTGTACCCAGCAATTTAAGGTTTAACCCACAAACTAAGTAGGCTTAACTTGTTAAGGTTTAGAATAGTATAAATATAACAAATAACTGTTAGCTGCACTTATAGTTCATGGATACGCCCTGCTTTTTGAGTCGATTGCATCAAAACAGCCCCGAGCTTAAAGATCACAGTTGCCAGGGCGTGATCAGCCGGTAACGATGCGCCTCGCCCCGGACAAGATCACGACATGACAAACGACATCGCTATGCCAACGCACGCATGGCAACTCACCGTCCCCGCCACCGGAGTCAACCAACAACGGACCTTGCGTCGCAGTCATCTTGCAAACCTTGTTCCTTCCTTAATTTAGAAGAAATTGGCGTTTCGGCAGCTTCAGACGGTCTGCAAATATACTTGTGTAGTTTGATCGCCGTCTTGCCCGAACGCCGGTGGTCAGAAGTCGCAAACCAAAAGCGTCTCCCCCGGTTACTAGGTAACGGAGACCAAAAGCTAGCCTCACATTCAGATGCGCATTCGGATGAGCGTTGCCCAGGAAGAAAAACGCAGCATTCGCCCTATATATGGGGATTTCAGTACTTTAGGACCACAAGCTGATTGACTACGACGCGTTAGAAATCATAGTAGGGTACATTAGAGACAAACAAAAAGCGAATGGACAAAAACAAAAACATTCTGTCAACATATCACGCCCCCTTTGAAATGGCGCTATGCGGAGGTCAACTGAACTGCAGTCCGCTCACCCCGTAAGGCAGTTGCGCAATAGCCTGGGTACCATCCGGATTTTGGCTCCGCATGCGCGCGCAACGCTCGAAAATGATCCAGATGGTATCCAGGCTAGTTGCGCAAGAAATAATGCACATTAAGATATGTACTAAATTTGGAAAAACGTAAGAATCCAAATCATAGTCTCAAAGGCGACATATTCCTTTGCCACACATCACCGTTAGTTACGCATAATAGTTTTACGCTTGAACAAACCTGAAACTGGATTTCTTTTCATCCATACAATAAAACTAGTAAAGATGTAAAGCTGTATCAGACATCCAGGTTATGCAAACAGTTGCTGTGATTTCAGGCAAATCTTTCGGGCAACACAATGATCCAGGAACTTTTTCAGACACCCTTTTCACAAACCGAACATCGCCGTCATAGACGTAACCTTGCCTTGATGTTGGAAGATATAATAAGTTACAGGTAGTCTCAGATAAATAACATTTATTTTCTCACCCATTATGCAAATAGGGTACTAATATACGGCTGTATCACAACTACTAACTAAAAACAATACCGCCGTAGACGGAAGTATAACTAACTCATATTGAAGTGGATATTTAGGTTTACCGAAGGAAAACATATTGTTTTTACTCAATTTCATCTTCCTCTTATTCTTCTCCAAACACTAACCTCTGACCTGGCCAATGACATGATTTGTTGACGCCTGTCACCATGGTGACTGGTGTTGGGTTACATAATGTTGCAAACTTCATGGTCTGCTCTGCTTGGTCTGTCACCATATACTAGTACTAGTGGTACATGTATGTGAAGATCCTTGAGTAAAAATTAACAAGGCAGACCATGTCCGAAGGTAAACATTATGCATATGCTTTGCAAATGTTACTTCTCTAGTCTGGGAATGTTTTTCTGTTTCGCCAGATGGCGCATTACTCACATAAAAGTTGACAAAAGTCACCACATGCCTCTGACATGGAAACTTTTGCAAATATATCTGAACTGTGAGCCAACACAACTACATTTCTTTAAAAGTTCTTTTTTTTTCCTGACGTTGTGCTGGATCATATGTAATTTAGTCATCTACAATATACTACTGTCTTGAAACGAAAGGACAATACGTATTGGATACCAACGTTACTGGTGTTCCTAGGTAAATGCAGTTCTCACTAATATTGAGAGTTGGGGCTGCTGAATAGAAAAATCAGCAAACCATGTGAAAATTCCACCATGAAATCAACGTCAACAATTTTTTGCACCATCTACACGAACACAACACAACACCTAGCCAAAATCTAGAAAATTCTGGAAAATTCACTTGTCAGATCTTTACATATTTTCCGGTCCATTTTTAAACACGCGGAAAGTACTGACAGCAGTTCCTGACGGGAGGATATAATCAATGTATCTTTTGTCAGGGCCTTTTCCTTCGACCTAATCGCGATTTTAAAATGGACTGTCTTTGAATCATATACATATGTCTTGGATATTATAGATATTGTAATAGTTTGTTTGCTTGCTTTTTCTCATATATGCATCTACGAGGTCAATAGCAATACATATAATATTCAGTCTGATACTTGCCACTGTTACCTACCGTACTAAAGTTTTGTTGATCAAGCACAAGACGGACAGGTGAATTGAAGATTTGAAAACACGATCAACCAGATATTATAAATATTTCGGCCACCCTAGCAGCTTCTTAGGAACTGAGCTAAGTTGTTGGTGTCGTTTTTAATTACACTCTACTATATAGAACAACTCATAAACATATCAGTGAGGTTTTAATATTATTTTATTTTCGAAGGTAATCTTCGAACTTAAGAAAAAGTGACACAACAAGGATTTCCTAGCACCTTTCTTTCAAACTTGAACTTCGAGATTGAGTCAGAGTGTGTGTTAGTATTTTAAAAGGGCCACAGGAATAATTACTCACCGTAATGCATGCTATATGTGGATCCCAATAAAGTCAACTCAGCTATTTAGATTACAACACGATACACGTCGAACACATCCAGTGAATTGCTGGTGTCGTGCACCACACATTACACAGTACAGAACATATTACACATTTAAAAACAAAGTCTTACAATCATCGATACATACAAAGCATTGCGATTCAGTCAATGCAATAGACATTACTGTTGAATGGGTAAGAGCTGTATTTTCCTGATGTTGAATGACGAAATTTTTATGATACATGGATATGTGATGTAGGTACGTAGGGACGAACATGCCAGATCATATAGGTTATGTAAATTAGAGCATTGTTTGCATAATTAATGAGGATTTTATTGTATAGTCATATGCAAGTTGGCAAATGGGCTGCTATATTCTACTCGTTATTTTGTACTTTTTTCTTCAATATTTTTTTCCTTTAATATTAGGTTTGCACCTTACATATGACTGTGGGCTGTCAGTTGTTGATGTGACCCAGGACCAGTCCCCGTGACAGAAACTATTTCGTCTGGTCTGACTGGCCGGGGTCCATCAGCCCAAAACTTATCCCGCATAAAAATGAGCATGTCTCTCCACCCACATCCTCGGAAACAAAGGCCCCTGTTTTAACACAATCTTGGAATTCAGACAGTAATTTTACCCTGTGGCAGGACTGACTAAGAGTAGGCAGACAATTTGAACTGGGGTCATCAAAACCATGTTTTGAACTAGGATACTCAGGATACCTCTTCCGATAAAATCTTGCGACTGAGAAATGGGGGCTTCATTAGAGGGTTGATAGGCTGGAGAGCTGAGGGACTCCAGCTGGTTTTGTGGCGGGGATCAGGACTCAGACAGCTGACCTAGTTGGGGATAATGAGTGATGTCATTATCATCTTATATCATATGATTTTTAATTTATGTTAATGTGTTTATTGTACATTTCCTTTGTTGCATGTATACATATGAAATACAAACATTGTAGATTAATTCCAATGATCCGGAATTCGGGAAATATCAGTGACTACCCTTACTTACAAGGCTTTCCACCCTTACTTGAATATTCACTTTGACATGCGCATACATGTAGTACAGAAAATTGCAACACATTTACACAATGCTTCAGCCATTCTCACTGACTTTTTGCCTGTTAGCTCCCGTGCTAATAGTAATCTATGAAAACTTTTCCAAATGAAATTTTGTCAGAAAAGTTCAGTTCTTTTCACAACTGTATACACAAGTGCATGTACGAGTATACACGATGAGTGTACCAAATACAGGTCCAGAGCCAGGGCAACTGGGTGGGTAGTAACGTGGCCAGTTCAACGAAATAACTTGTTTGTTCATGAGAACAACATTAATCGTGAGAACTAGAGGCCTAGAGCTCTATATAGTTTTTTTATTGTAAATTTGTTTATTTTCGCGATGATTTTATTTCGCGGTGGGAGGGATAGGGATGTTTGTGCGGTGTGTTGAATTCGCGATTGAAACAATTCTGTAGTACAGTAGTCATACAAGGGAGTCATACCATATTCGCAATAAATTCGTGGATAGGTCACCGAGAAAATAAACTACGACCGTGCCACGAAAGTTGTAAGATTAATCATATGTATCCTGTTTCTGCTGGTAGACCAGTAAATTCCACACACTTCAATAGATTTTCACTCTCTGTGTTTTTTTACCTCCATGTACAGAGGTTTTGTTCTCCGTTTGTTTGTTTGTTTGTTTTATGTCCATAGTTATTTGAATACTGTAGAGTCACAGGAAGTGAGAGGGAATTTTGTAACCACAGACTGACAGGAAGGTCGAGGTGGGAGATCAAGTTGGAAGAAGCAGGCTGGGAAGACGGGACAGTGGAATATGCGAGAATTACTTCACACTTTTTAGTGATAGTTTATAAGAATAGACAATATTTTTCAAAAATTAGGGGAAATGTATTCCTATGGGTTGGATTGTGCACAATATAACAAGGAGTAAAATTAAAGCAAATGGAGTGAATATTGGGGGGGGGTAGAAGGCAGGCTGCATTAGTGTAATATGGCATTTCTAGATCCTTTACACCCTGATCCTCCTCCTCCAGAGGGGTAAGGAGAGATGATATCATTCCAAACATCTGCCTGGTACACTGGGCACCCGTACAGCTGTGAGCAGCGCGGCACAATCAGTCACTACAGAACAGATGGAGGCTAAAGCCGCCATGCTTTCAGCAGCTTCTGTTGTTTGGGTTAGAGAGTCCAACCCACAACAACTTCAAAGGGAGGCGAACTGGCTGCATTTCCGCAGCTCGGCAGAGATAAAAGTGGCATACTCAGAAATCATTTCCTCATTATCTCTGGGCTCAGTTTCATTAAATAAAATGCCCGCAACAAGTTGGACAGCTTTGCATATCTCGAGCCTTGATTGAGTTTGTCATCCGGCAGTGATGTCTGATAATCCTATGCATAGATCCCAGACTCGGCTGTATCTGGCCACTATCTCTTGAAAGCTTTCTTCGATTTCTGTTCAGTGCTGGCATACCAGGGTAATGCTTTGATTTGAGTAACCCCTCTCATTACAGGAAGGGTGGTGGTGGTGGTTCAAAGGCAAGTCACCCCATCTTGCTCCAAGTCCTGATTAGGGGCTGGAATGTGCTCATTACTGTATAATTAAGACTTGTAGGCATGAGGTCTAATTACTGTGGGGAGTCGGTACTAGTAGGATCCCCCATCCCTAATAAGCCCCGCTGCTGTGGCACGAAGAAGACCTGTTCTTTCTCTCTGGCACCTTTAATCATGAAAAGTTACACAATATGCTGTGATTTGTTTCTTCCAACTCCGCCATATAGCAGACTTGCGTACTGATACAACTGTGATGAGACAACTATACAATAAAAACGCGTCGGTGCCCATAATACTACTTAGTATCATAGACAATACGGTATCATCCACGATGTGTGGTAGTGAAGCT